CGGTACCGCCACGAATGTCAATATTATCGAAATAAGAAGGGCCGAAGGTGACACTTGAGCACCGTTGAAACCGTAATTCTGGATAGATTCATAAGGGTAATAGCCACTGTGGCCTTCATAGATGGCGACATAAATGCTCTTTGAATAAAGCCAATGGAGCACAGTGCTACTGAGGAGCAACGGTATTGAATAGCGATAAGGGAGTTGGAGACGATGGGTAGAACGCTGTTCTCCCTTCTTGTTTGTTACCCGCAATGTTTTGTACACTTCGCCAAAAGATGCCCATTCTAGCTCCACGATGAAATAGGTAAAAATTGAGTTTAAAGTGACATAGAAGTTGGACAATACAAGTTGGGGCAAGTTAACTATAAAGGCAGTAGAAAGCAGGCTCAGTTGCCTATTGGCGAAAGCACGTCTGTTTATGTGGTTGAGGAAAGCAGGATTGGATATGGATTGCCCGAAGTTTGAGGCATTACTAAACGATTTGTCAGTTTGATTCGCTCATGCTCGCCAAGAAGATTAAAGATACTTACAAGCTCGGATGAGGGTTTGCAAAGAAGTAAAATGATATGACCCCCAAGATAATTCCACATGGGATCAAATGCAAGGACCACACCTCTGTTGGCACAGAAGACCCTAGAACTGTCTTGTTATGATTCAGGGTCCGTGGTGATGTGGATTTGGTATAAGGGTCCCTCCAGTATTTCTTCCGCAATGATTTGAAGTCGCGCCGCTCATAGGTACATAGGCCAGCGGTTGTTTTATCCGATATCATAATGAACGAACAGATCGCATCGCCAGGCGTAATTAAAGGTCGGCGATGTCGGCTTGCCACCATGAAAATGAGTTCCACGCCGGTCTTTAAAATACATACAATACAAACGATAATAAGAATGTTTAATTGCAGCTCTAATTTGCAATCTCCGACGTACTTCTGCGAGACACAATAATCCGCTTCAAGAGGCCCATATGTTCCGTTGAAGAATACTTGAATAGATGTCAAGGTATTGCCGTTTAGGTGAAGAACGTCTGCTAAAGCGTTGCTTTCATTACTCGAAGCCCTTGTTCCATCCGACTGAAGTAGCGTGTCATTCGTGAAGGCTGGATCGCCGCGGAGCAGATAAGCTACTGTCCAGATAGAATTTGCCGATGCATTGGAGGTAGCCACCGTAGTGCGACCATTTTCATTCGTCCAGCCTGATGGTGAAGTTTGGCGAGGATCTCTGACAACCATGATGACATGTCGATAGTCAACGAGGGTTTCATTAGAGCTCATGTACCGCAGGAGGCATTCATCCACACCGATATGTTGCCAAGATGACTTGTCTCGTTGCCAAGATTTGCCGAGGTCATCTAAAGTTGAGTGCAACTGTTCCTTTTGGCTGGTAAAGTTTGTTGTTTCTGAAACAACAATTCCCGGCAACGAGAAGTCCTGCTCCCCTGTCAAAAACGTTTCCGCAGCAAGAACAATAAGGGCATCCGTTGACGAAATTGATTCCAAAATGACACTGTTGAAAAACAAATGAATGGGCAACGAACTGAGCCCTAAAGTAAGAAACAAGGCAATCTTGGTTTTGGGAAGCGTTGATAGATTCCTGAGAGATAGGACACCTATCTCCATTGATTTCCGTTGAGCGTGAGCGTTATCGATGTCTCGGCGGGTTGGGGCGGCGATCACTTGCATAAAGAAATTTGAGGATGCCAGTATAGCAGTCGAAATAACGTTGATACCAAATTGTATGCCTAGACTTGTCGAGGACGCGGAGTTGCATGTGCCTTCGAACAGAATATGCGAGCTATCGCCACCTGAGCGGGCAGAAAACACCACCAAGGTCACCAACAAACCCACGGTTATGACGAACGATAGGATCGATAAGATAAGACCTCCCAACCTCCACCCCGAGTATTTTTCACGGAATGTCATGGTAGGGTAGATAGAACAACTTGATACGATTTTCAGATGTGCTCAAAGCTTGCAAGGTTTTTGCCAGGGGTATGCTATTAGACAACATGATGTATAAAAAGCACCATGGCTGTAAATTAAAGAAAGTGATGTTAAGAGAGCAGGCAAATGTGCCTTGCTAAAGATAGAATATGCAGGAAATCTAGATAGGGTTGCCGATTGGCAACTTTCAACGTTCTCAGACCTACTGATCGGCAGATCTCAAAGCACTGCCCTTTTGAATGATGGCAACGTAGCAATAGCGGAAGTGAGCTGCCCCGCGCCATGTTGCACTGCAATAATGGGGGCTGAAAATGAGGTCTCGGTGAAAAATAGTGAGCTAAATGATAAGTATATGTAAATCCTGAACTGGTCTAGAATGATATGGTGTAGCAAATACAAGTTCCAAGAATGTTGTGATGGGCTTACCTACAGTCGGTCGGTGCCTTAGTTGCAGGAAGACATAGGCCATGCTAGGTAGGTAGTGGATTGAAACACTACCTCTGGCGCTGTAGCACAGAACAGGCAATACCTAGGTATATATTCTCTGATGGTGATTGGTTACCTGCGACGGACCTACCCAAATAGGCAATTCACGAAGCTGAAGCTGAAGACAAGCACTCGAGAATGAAATCCTCTAATGTGCAAGATCTCGCTTTGGGCTATCATCTACAGTTACATTGTGCTTCGTGAAAGTGACGGACTTTTACCGTACAATGGCGTCCGTGCAGGAATCCGTTGTGGGCGCTCCGGAAAGGGCGTCGTCCACCGCCGTCATCCCTAGAGTCATCCTTGCCATTGGACTCCTGTACGTGATAGGATATCCCATCTACGCCTTATACCTTCACCCGCTGCGTGATTATCCAGGCCCACGGCACTCTGCCATCACTCGTATTCCATACTGGATATCCTGTCTGCGAGGTTATCAAGTCCAATGGATGACGAAGCAGCACGAGAAATACGGGCCTACAATCAGATTCGGTCCTGACGACCTGAGTTACACTGATGCGCAGGCATGGCGAGACATCTGCATCGTCCCGAAGGGCAAGAAGGAGAATGGCAAAGAACTTAGGTTCCATGGGCAGTCGGAGGAAGGGATAAGACATATGGTGACTGAGAACGATGGCGTCCGTCACGCGACCGTGCGGCGGGTCTTTTCACCGGCCTTCTCTGAGCAGTCGTTGAGGAAGCAGGAGCCTCTGTTCCAGAAATACGCCGATCTCATGGTCGAATGTGCCCGTAAAAGTGGTGCTCCGAACTTGACTGAGCTGTTCGACTTTACGACGTTCGACATCATGGCGGAGTTCACGTTTGGGGAGTCCCTTGGATTGCTTGCGAACAATCGATACTCGGAATGGGTGGCCATGGTGTTCAGTGCCGTCAGGGTAGGTTATAACGAGCTCCTTGGCCGTAAGGAGGACCCCGAGAATTGACTTTTTGTCTCCAGATCTTACCTACGATGCAGGTGATAGAGTTCTACTCATTCACGCGTACTCTATTCCATCTTATCGAACCCAAGTTCGTCACGAAGATGCGCTTAGATCACTTCAACCACACGAAAGTCCGTGTCGATAAGCGGCTCAAGGAAGGATCTGATCAGCCCGATCTATGGAACTTGGTCGAGGACTCTGGAGTACTCACCATAGGTGAAGTCTATGCGAATGCCGAGCTGTTCATGGCTGCAGGCACCGAGACAACCGGTACGTTATTCAAGTCGTAACATGACAGGTTATGCTAATACTCTTGGCTAGCCTCTCTACTCACAGGCCTAACTTTTTACCTGCTCACGCACCCGGAAAAGATCAAGTTGCTTGTCGATGAGGTCCGCGGCACATTTCGAACGAATGAAGAGATCACATTTGAAGCTCTGAGCAAGCTAGAGTATCTGAATGCTTGTGAGTCACCCTAGAAGATACCCGACAAGGGAATGAAACTCAGAACTAACGCGGCTGCGTCTAAAAGGCATACGCGAGGGCCTGCGCGTCTACCCGCCAGTACCCTCGGCCCTTCCGCGCGAGGTAGCCGAAGGTGGAAATGCCATCATGGGCAAATGGGTGCCTGGAGGTACTCGAGTTTCGGTGCATCCCACCGCGGCGTATCGCTCGCCAGCAAATTTCACGTAAGTTCAGGAGAAAGCTATGATTTTCCATGTTTTTTTTTCTCTTTTCATAAACGTAAATGTTGACCAAGATGTTTGTTCCAGAAACCCAGACGAGTTCGTACCAGAACGGTGGCTGGGCGACCCTAAGTACAAGGACGATGTTCGTGATGCGCATCAGCCATTCTCGGTCGGACCCAGGAATTGCATAGGTATGAATATGGCGTGGCATGAGATGCGCTTGTTACTAGCGAAGCTTGTATTTAACTTTGATGTGACGTCGGACGTGGGACCTGAGTGGAGAGATCAACTTGTCTCTGTCCTCTGGCATCGCAAACCTCTGGTCTGCCAGATGAAGGATGCGAGGACAGCAGCTTGAGGCTAGGGGCGTTGATGGCGGTCATAATAGGTGAAAAAACAACCATTTGGCAGCAATTCTGCCTGAACAAAATGATCAAGTAGGCACGCCAGATTCTCTACAAATCCCTATGCTCTATCGGCCGCCTGGTTACTGGTAAGGATTCGACACTCTCAGTCTAGAGTGCAAGTCAGCATTCGTAGGGTATTACCTATGTTCACGTAGCCACATCGCAGAGCCTGTTGATGCGAATACCGGAGGATTGTATGCACACCTAAGATATAGACAAGTTCCCACGAAGGTGTCAATCAGAGGAGTTGTCCTTTGTAATAGGAGTTCGTGTCGCTGAGAGAGTGATTTGCCCGTCGGGGCTACCTTCACTGTCCGCCAACTTGAGCAGTAGTATTGACCATATGAATCAATTAAAACTCGCTCTTCTTTTTTCTTGCTAGTATTTTGCTCCTAAAATCTTGTCCTTTATAATCTACCCCCTCCTTTATAATCGACCCCCTTATTGCTCGAGTTGGAAACAGTGGAAATTAGTCCGACCAGCGTAGAGCGCGATCATATACTTTCCTTATGGCCCGAGTACTCAACAATAAGGCCAGGTGGCGGAGTGGTTAACGCGGTAGACTCGAACTAAATATAGGTCCACTATATGAGTGCGGTATCTACTTCCTTCGGGAGCGTCTGTTCGAATCAGGCCCTGGTCGATAATAAATATCTTTACTTTTACTCTTAGTAATTAATCAAGATTTTCTAAGGATTACAGATCGTTTTTTTTACTGCCTCTGTGATCTTTTCTTTCCTTTTTAATAAACAAGTCATATTTATATTCTTATTTGTATATCTGCTTATGTAGTACGGTTATCCTTATCTAGGATAGAGTGAACTGTTTCGCATGAATATAAGTTAAGTCAACAATAAGGAAACTTGCTTTCATCTGTCCTATCACATTAGGATTTCATATCCAAATAGCTTATCGTGTTGAACTACATCTATTGACAATTTTAATAAGACAACCCGAGTGGCCAGGTTTATTTAGAGGAGCACAGAGGGTACATGATCAGCCTTCTGTATAGATAACCCTGCCCATCGTCAAAGTCAAGCGTATTAAATCCCATCTCAATGAACTCTTAGGTTCAATTGTAGAACTACGTATCACGTACTACTAGAATGATTTATTCGACCAGAACAGTGAGACTAGACCGATTGGTCAGGCCGTTCTTCATCATGTCTATGCATCGCCCTCGCGCGCCTCATAACCCACTCCTCGCAGCCAATCTCGCCGTACTTCTTCTCCTCGCCCTCCGCAACGCAGCTATCCAGCACGCCACAGCTCTCGTTCAGATTAAAGCCGAAGAAGAAGGGCATGCTGATCCTCTCCTTCCCGCTGTAGTTGTGCGCGCGATGCACGGTGCTCACGTAGCGATCGTTCGTGATGCGCTGCATGTAGTCCGCGATGTTGACCACGAAGGTCCCCGGGATCGGCTTCGCGTGGATCCACTGCCCCTGCCGATTCAGCACCTGCAGACCGCCATTACTGTCCTGCCACAGGATCGTGAAGAGCTGGAAGTCCGTGTGCGAGCCGATGGAGACGTCGCCTCCCTCGCCTTGCTCTGCCGGTGTCGTCGGATCAGTATCAGGACGAGACAGAGGCGGGTAATAATTCAGCGCGAGACTCGCGTCCGGATGCGTGAACTTCTCGGCGAAGAAGTCCTCGGGCAGGTCGAGCGATAGCGCGAAAGATTTGACGAGAGCTCGCGCGAGAGCAAGACACGACCGCCAGTATTCGACGATGGCATCTTTGAAACCAGCCACGTTGGCCGTCGCCGCCCAGTGGAAATCCTCGTACCGCAGGTACCGCGCTATGTGCGGCGGGATGGCGACTTCCTCGGGATCGGGCACCGACGGGTCGTACCGTGCATCGTAGGTCCAGGAGAACGTCTCGCGCACATCCACCGACTCGAAGGGGTTGATGCGCTGCGACTGGGGCGGCTTGTAGCCGTTGAAGTACTTGGACTGGTTGACATTGGCGCGCTCCTTGATCTCACGCGGTTGCCGGAAGAAGGTGAGCAGCCTCTCGCAGGCAGCTTCTGGTATCTCTGCTGGGATACCGTGGTTTTTCATGTAGAAGAAGCCTGTGTTGGTTGCTGCGTCGCGGATCTGGCGCGCCACCTCCACCCGCGCATCTGGTGAAGCGCTGAAGATGCTGGAGACATCGATGATGGGAATCTCCGACGACAGCGCATCGCGCGGAGGCGTTCTCAGTACGGTCCTGGAAACTGGTCCGTTGCCGGAGGAGAGCCGTAACTGGGATGTGGGGTTGACGCTCTCCGGAGCTCCAACAGTGTCAACGCTGGCGGACGCCATGGAAGCATCAGCTTAATTACCTTTGATGATGTCAGCTAGAGAGGGCTTCAGTTCCAAGGAGAGCTTCGAAACGATAATATTCGTTATATGAGAGAGTGGCCATATATCATGCTGTAATAAGGACCAAGCTCTCAGTGGTTCCATGCATGAGCATTGGGGCATATGCGAAATTCCTACTCCTTTTGGGTTAGGTCTCAGAGCTTCCAGGGCATGAACTTGGATAGCGAGGAAGCATATCAACATCACCAACAACGGCTAGAATGGCTATCGGATGAAGTCATTCTGAGAAACCTAGTCCGAACTAGAAGACTCGAAATTTATTCCTTCTATTCTTATCTTCGCGCATTTCCTAGTGCATACGACCCAAGAAGCAGCTTCTGCTATAACGGACGGTTGATAAGCTGGCTAATCATTCCTATTTCTCTTAACTAGCCCTCGCATTATCGAAAGCATATAGCGATAATTAGTGAGAATTAAAGGCATCTAAAAAATTTACGATAAGGTAAAGCTTAGTTCTCTTGTTATAAGCTTCACATCCAAATACTAGGACTGTCACCTTTTAGACTTACACTATACCTGAATATAAATACATTGATCCTTCGCAAAAAGGATTACAATGGGCAAAATGTATACACCATGATTTCGCCCGGACTTGAACCGGAGACCTTCAGTGTGTTAGACTGACGTGATAACCAACTACACCACGAAACCTTCTTATAGGCATCGGACTTTGTTTATATTTTTGCGGCAAGAAGAAATTATAAAGTCTTCTATGTGCAAGCTGAAGCATCTTCCTTTCATTATCTCTACCTCTCTAGACAGTGGCACACTTTTTGCTGGCCAAACAGTTAAAATTCAATAAATGTACTGTCTGATCTATCTTTTCTATTCTTTTTGGTTATTGTATAAGTATGTTGGGAGGAACACGAGTGGCTTTAGCCATTCAAACTACCTTCTTTAACTCCCTCCTACCACGGTTTAATCGTTTCGAGGCCTTTGGTTCTTTAGATACTTAGACCTAGGAAATTTTACGTGGTCGGGCTCTGCGTATGAGGACTGTGGACTAGGATGAGTCGAGAAAACGCCTTCTCACACACACGTGCGGTATTATATTTACGGTATCGAGCAAAGCAAAACTGCCACGCTGGTTACTTATTGGAGCAGTGGGCCTAACATGGTCAGAGAAACGAAAATCGCTCGAGGATGGGCTGAAATACATCAACGATGCTCCGTAGCATGTGCGTGCTCATCCTCACAACATTAAGATAGTGCGCTGTCTGTCTTGGGAAGAAGTACAACCCTTAGAGCAGCAAGGTCTTTTCATTAGGACACCGGTGGATAAAACTACAGCACATGCACTGACATAATTTCTATTGGCTGACTCTATCTCGACAGTTTGGGGAATCCCACGCAACCGGGGACACATAATTTGCGAACGCATCGTTATATATTCTATGTAAGTTATTTACTATATACCGCATAAGAGGCCATTGGGTATATATGTCTTGAACCAGCGCTCGTTATCTCGTAATCATTATTATACAACCGTCTTCCCTGTTTTGACGGGTTTCTATACATTCAGTGCCAGGAACTAGCTTGTGTTGGATCCTGCATCACTTGCGGCATACCGAAGCTGTGCATGCCCTGGTGAGGGTTGTACCCGCCGTATTCTTGAGCAAGATAGTTCCAGTCCATCTCACCGCCAAAGTTGACATCAGGGAACACCATGGAGAACTGCCTGTTGAGATCGGCAGGTTGCATATTGTACATATCGGCAGGCTGATAGACCGCTGCGTTGGGTACGACACTTGTCGTCGGTACAGATGACGATGGGGCTGCCGAAGCATATGCGTTACTAGCTACTGGTATCTTTGGCGATGGGGTAGGCAATGGTGATTTGTCTTTGGCTTTTCTGGGTCTCTGGGCGTCGATTTGTTTCATGACTGTAATCAGTCTTGGTGGTGCAAGAGTACGACCGTTTGAGGCCTCAGTAGCCTCTCTGGCATCCCAGGCCTTGACGAAAAGAGCACTGAAAGCGAGATGTAGAGGTGTTTTTGTTGTTGTGGTCATTTGCCTTCTTTCGGCATGCTCAAATATTGTCTCCCAAGCCCGTTCGCACAGATCACCGCTCGTACGAGTGCGCAGTTCGCTTAGAAGACAAACGTAGGCGGGAAATGGGAAATGCATATTGGTGTACCAGAGGAAGCCTTTCAGCTTCTCATGAGCCTGCAACATGCTGTCATACTCAAGCATTCGAATGGCCTCGATGAGAAGAGCTTCGCTCTCTGCAGCAGGCAAGGTTGACGGGGCAGTAATGGCGACCCGGAAAAAACCAGAGATGATCTTTAGCTTGCAAATGTGGGCTCGCGTCATGAGCAGCGTCATATAGTGGACGGGTATCTTGGGGTCACAATACTTCAAGTACGTTTCCTCCATGTAGTGTGCGAATTGGTCGAGGTAACCCGAGAGACGGTGGTCGGCTAAGTTTGTTACCGCTTGTGGATTGGCGGCAGACAGTTGAGCTTTCATCTTGTCGTTGCCCGGCGCTTTAGCAAACTCAAGCCTGGTAAGGGCAAAGATCATTTCGGTGGCACCGATATGCAGGGGAGGAGGATCTTTGGCATGTGTATTCAAGTCGCCATCATTGATGTTGAGCGGCAACTTGCAATTGCCACCGGTTGAGATAGCCGTGATAGTTGATCCACACATTTCACCTAGGCGCCGGTCGAAGCCGGCCAGATTCCACCAGAGCCTGCGCCTCTCTTCTACCTCGAAAGGTGTGAACCCATACTCCGCGCCGTCCCGCTGGAGCCCAAGACGTTGGGCTAAGCGAACCCCCATGCCCGTTAGACAGAACAGGGAACGCGGATCTGTATGTTGTCTGACGCCGGTCTGGATCTGGTTAGGATTAGAAGGAATCAGACACTTAAAGGAAAATCTTACACAGTACAGCAGGTATGCTTGCAGGACAGTCAAGTCCGGCATGCGCATGAACCCGGCGTTATATAAAGCTTGCTGTGCGGCATGCTGGTATTTCATAAGCAGGTTCTTTTTCGGCTCACTAAAGGTCTGCTGTGTTTCTTCGTCGGTAAGACTTGTGATGGCCATGAGATATATGGAAAACATCAGGGCCTCTAAGCTTTTGGACACCTTTGCGAGGTTCGTCGAAGCTTCAATGATCTGGACTTGCAGAGTAGGCGTGTGTGTTAATTTGAGCAGAGGGTTGACGTTGTCCAGGTATATCTGCCATAATTGGAAGATTTGGACACCAGAGGGGTGTAGCTCGGTGACGCTCTGCGCACCACCACCCACGGCGAAGGGGAAGCCATCTGTATCGCCG